ATGACAAGTACATTCCAACAGTCACAGAATTGTTCTTAGTAGGCATATATATATATATATACATATATATATACAGTCACAACTTTGGAAGTTTCAAGGTTTCACAAAAGTCATCCATCTGAACAGTGTATGCATCCTATATAAAGAATACAAATCAAAATATAAAGAAGGGGTACAATGTATAAAGATATTTTTATTATATATCTATTAATGAAGTCAATTCTACTGTCAAAGTTGTATATACAATATCAATAATTATGAATTGCAAACACTATGTTCTTTTGTAAAAAAACATTAATTTTGAAAAGTGTAAACATATTCATGTCATTCATATTTTCAGACCAAGTCTCCATGTATAAATGTTAATATAAAAATTGGGAAAGAGATAGGTATAAGCATTTTATAATATTTTGTGTAAAAGACATGGTTGATGGCCCATGCATGCATAAATATTGGCAACTTTTCCAACCCAAACTGGAAACAAAAGTCAGAAAAACTCACTTCTCTTATCTCTCCCTTGATATCACCTGGTGCGATGTATCTCAGGAATTGTAGGACTTCTCTTGGAAAAGCATATTCGCTATTATCAGGACCAACTCCATTTTTCTAGAATCAAGCAAAAATTTTGTTGCGTGAAGACCATGCACGCTTGGTAACTAAAGATTCAACTATGAAATCTTCTTTAATACTTACGATCAGTGCGTGTGCCCATCCACAATAGAAGAAATATCGTACCATTCTAGGAGGTTTACCCCGCTTCTTGAGTCGATCTTCGACGCCAATTTCAAGTTGACTGATGAAATGTGTTCCGTCATAACTAGTAAAAAATATGTTGCTGTATTAAATGCTGTGTATGTAAACGAACTCGGAACTGCTAAAAATATTATGTTCAAATCGAACAAGAAAAGAACAAAGCGAAACAACATACCCTTCATCTCTCATCGTTGAGAGCAATATTTGTTTGTAGTCCACATCACGATCTGCTTCAGTAAAACTATCTACTTTTGAAGGGCATTTCTTCCTTGTCTTTCGTCGCTTTTTCGTCGCGGGTTTATCTTTATTTATGGACACAGGCTCAGCCTTGCGTTTTCGCTTTGGAGGCATGACTAGTAGTTTTATAGTGACTTCTGTGACTTGCTTGACAAAAGTTTTACAGTATAATTTATACGGAAGTTTACATAAAATACATCGCTTGCCATAATTTATACGGAACATCACTTGCCACACGCGTTGTAATTGGTTAACAACAATTGAATTAATTAGTGGGGAAAAATAGACAGAACTTCAAAAAACCCCGCGAAATGTTTAAAGTCAATTATCAGATACATTAATTTTGAGTCGTAAACACGCACTAAAAAAGCTTGGTTAGTCGTGCGTTTTAACCGATCGTTCTGAAATTTGCACACACTGTAGGTGTATGTCTTGGCTACAAAAGGGTGTTCGCGCGAGTTTTACAAGCCTTTAGTTGCAAAATTACAGACCTTTTTCGTGCATTCGTTGCAATATAACACAGGTCGGGAAAGAACATGTCTTAGCTATGTAACCCCTGAAGCAACGATAAAATGCGAACACCCTTTTTTAGTGCAATACTCGAGAAGAGTAAAAATGATAGATTGACAGGATTTTAGTGAAACCTACATCTAACGTAGCTCGCCGCGCGAAGGTCCCATAAACTTAAACTTGTAACAATATTCGGGAAAGTTATTTCTTTCTGATATATTTTATAACCCTATGTTTTTTTTCATCTATCGGACTATATTTGGAGAAAATTTGAGAGAAATTGGATAAAAATTCGCCGAGTAATGGTAAATCTCCCGAAACCTGCGCGTAGGGTCTCCTGTAACCTTAAAGCATTCCAAATTTACGGCCGGAATACGGAGACTCGCCAGCAAATCCCTTTCGGAATGTCCGCCTTTGAAGGCAATTGTAGAGTTTGAATCTATCTGTATTTCACGGTAGAAATTCTCTACAATTGCCTCCAAGTCCGAAATTTGAAATGCTTTAGTGCCTCGTGGAACTCCGAACGGGAGTCTATGTATATTCTTCTGGACGAAGTTACACGTTCTCTTGTCTTTCTCGTTGAGCTCGTTCCAATGTAAGCCAATATCGAAAAAGAACGACGAGGCTTCAGAGTCTCCGACCTTTATGACTCCCAAATCCTTACAGAAAAATTTCTTTCCAATTTGAAATCCGTCCATGTCAAGGATCCCAACGATGTCTGCTTTACACTGCATGTTGGCTGATTGATTGTGATGTGATTTAGATTGTTTGAAACACTAATCTGCGTTCTTGCGTGCCATATAACTATCGCGTGTACAAAACGTTAATCCATGTGTTAATTTATGCATGCAGTCGACCAACGCGGTAGCTTTGGCAACAACATTTTGTTCTTAAAATCAATGCGATTTATATAGGGACACTTCTCAAAGTGTCCCGTAAGCAAGTCCCGGGCGTCCCGTAGAAACGTCCCTGCGTCCCGTGCGTATGAGCATATGCTCATAACTGCTCACGAGCACATGCTCATCTGCTCATAAAACTGCAATACTGCTCAATAGCAAGACATTTCTGCACAGTCAGTGCTAACGGAATGAGCTGCCAATTTTGCGGAAAGCAATTTAATCGTGGTTACAATTTACGAAGACACGAAAAGGAATACTGTCCCCTAGGTGCACAAGAAAGAAACATGTCTCAAACGGACTTGGATAGCCAGGAAAGGGATTTTCAAGACGACGTTTCAACAACTTCAACTGAAGTGTCTGAAATTTCGACGATGACTGATAATGAGTCAGAAACTGAAGAGGAAATGCATCCTTGGATACCGCTAATAGAAGAAGCAAAGCAAATAAGTAATATAGCATTTGAGGAAATGAAAGAAAGCCTTATCAACAGTGGTCTAGATGAACAATCCGCTAAGGACAAAGCTTACTCTAATATTCTTCCTAAACTCCAGAAGGAACTGGAAAATATTTATATGGAGCGTCTCGTGTGGATGAAACAACTAAAGAAAGATCCAGTTCATAAGAAGATTATGCACACAAAAGATTCACTTGTGGAAAACGATGATTTTGATCCAGAAGAAGCGTTAGAAGCAGCTGTTGATAAGAGAAAGTTTCTTATAAAATGGCTTTTAAAGGGTCACAAATTTGATGAGGAGAATGATGATGATGATGAAGAGAATGATGATTAGACTCGATTAATAGGATTGAAGTCATGTATTCGAACAGTATTAGCAAGTAAAAACATACCAGTACTAGACCCAGCATGTAAATTGTGAGTCATTCAATAAATTGCTTTTTAATTACTTGTCTTTTCTTGTCATTTTTACATGGGTCAGGCAGGGTACAAATCAAAATGGCAAAAACATGCGAATACGAAAATGTATACATTTGTGTACATAAATTTTGCAGTGGCTTCCACGAAAAATGTACACATAGTCTTCGGGCCTAAACGGGTCTTATGAGCAGATGAGCATGTGCTCATGAGCAGTTATGAGCAGGTGCTCATACGTTCATGCAGGATGAGCATATGAGCATGTGCTCATGAGCAACTATGAGCATGTGCTCATACGCTCATCGCATAAGATTGTATACCCGACATGATTTTGAAAATTGAACAGAATCTATACGTAATAGTTCGGGTTTAAACGGGCCTTAATGCGATGTAAAATGCGAACTCAATGCGAAGACGCATGAGCAAAATGGGACGACGCATATGCATACCGATATCAAATTCCTTAGTTTAGGGAAGAAATATGCGATATCAAATTCCTTAATTTAACAACCGAGATGAAGGCGAAATTTCGTTTTACAGAGGAATATATAATAGCTTTTAAATTTTAACGATATGATGAACTTGTTAAGAAACACTGGTCCATTTTAACAGGGTGATTTATTTATACCTTGAACTAAGAAAACAACTAACTTATCATACCAAATGTTATGTAGTGACAATTCAAAATAGCGTACGAATATATTTTGTGCAATATCAGCAATACCGTCATTGTCAGTTGCTATACAATAAAAACTGTTAATTATGAAAAAAAAAACCGAAAAACGTCCCAGACAAGCAACCTACATTTCTGATGAATAAATTGACAAGCTCGAGTCCGTTGTGTCAATTGTTTGTGTTGAGCCTATTCGAGGCATTTCCACAGTTTCAACAGATCGCTGGTCTACTCTTGGGGCCCAACATCTCACCGAGCGAAATCTGTACACGCATACACTTAATATAAAAATTGAAGTCGGAATAAATGTAGCGAGAATAATAATATTTATTAATTTTTCCGGTCCGTTTGGCGGAGAGTAACCACGCAACTTTATTCGTAAGCTTGAAGACAATGTTTGTCGGGGACGCGTGCTCGTCGAAACACAAAGCAGACATTTCTTTGACGTTCTTAAATCCATTTGCATTGCCGTTGACGTTGTATAGTAGAATTGTTGACTTGACAGCAATAATTCCGTTTGGACCGTGTTAGTTGAGACCACACAATTGACTTTAACTTTGATGTTTGAAAAAATTGCTTTGCGACAATTTATCGGATTTTCCCGAAGATCAATGAGGTCTAAGTTCGGATATAGTCCAAGCAGGGTTCCTTCAGAAACTGAAGAAATGTTATTTCTCCTCATGTCCAATACACGAACGTTTTTGTATCCACCAGGAATGTAGTCTAATCCAAGATCGCTGCAATCTAAAATCATCGCTACATTTACATACATGCATGACGTTTTCCTTTGACTACAGTTAACAAGGGAAACAAAAACGGAAAGAACGATTAAATGGTAAAGCACAGTCATATCACTACCAGTAAAACAAGAGACAATGAACCGATAACAGTCGAATACATGTATATCTCCAATTAAATTTGGCAAGGTGTATTTTTTTAATGACATTTTTCGAGGTAGCGGTGTTCCTAAAAAGGGTACAGATAAAGTTTAAAATGACACCTGTAATAATTATCATGTATACAGACCACACAAGGTGACTGAGGGCCGGAGGCAGCAATTAACACCCCCGCGTTGACTTCCCATTTTTCTCATGCGTCTTCGCATTGAGTTCGCATTTTGCATCGCATTAAGGCCCGTTTAAACCCGGACTATTACGTATAGATTCTGTTCAATTTTCAAAATCATGTCGGGTATACAATCTTATGCGATGAGCGTATGAGCACATGCTCATAGTTGCTCATGAGCACATGCTCATATGCTCATCCTGCATGAACGTATGAGCACCTGCTCATAACTGCTCATGAGCACATGCTCATCTGCTCATAAGACCCGTTTAGGCCCGAAGACTGGGTGTACATTTTTCGTGGAAGCCACTGCAAAGTTTATGTACACAAATGTATACATTTTCGTATTCGCATGTTTTTGCCATTTTGATTTGTACCCGCCTGACCCATGTAAAAATGACAAGAAAAGACAAGTAATTAAAAAGCAATTTATTGAATGACTCACAATTTACATGCTGGGTCTATACTGGTATGTTTTTACGTGCTAATACTGTTCGAATACATGACTTCAATCCTATTAATCGAGTCTAATCATCATTCTCTTCATCATCATCATCATTCTCCTCATCAAACTTGTGACCCTTTAAAAGCCTTTTTATAAGAAACTTTCTCATATCAACAGCTGCTTCTAACGCTTCTTCTGGATCAAAATCATCGTTTTCCACAAGTGCATTTTTTGTGTGCATAATCTTCTTATGAACTGGATCTTTCTTTAGCTGTTTCATCCACACGAGACGCTCCATATAAATATTTTCCAGTTCCTTCTGGAGTTTAGGAAGAATATTAGAGTAAGCTTTGTCCTTAGCGGATTGTTCATCTAGACCACTGTTGATAAGGCTTTCTTTCATTTCCTCAAATGCTATATTACTTATTTGCTTTGCTTCTTCTATTAACGGTATCCAAGGATCCATTTCCTCTTCAGTTTCTGACTCATTATCAGTCATCGTCGAAATGTCAGACACTTCAGTTGAAGTTGTTGAAACGTCGTCTTGAAAATCCCTTTCCTGGCTATCCAAGTCCGTTTGAGACATGTTTCTTTCTTGTGCACCTAGGGGACAGTATTCCTTTTCGTGTCTTCGTAGATTGTAACCACGATTAAATTGCTTTCCGCAAAATTGGCAGCTCATTCCGTTAGCACTGACTGTGCAGAAATGTCTTGCTATTGAGCAGTATTGCAGTTTTATGAGCAGATGAGCATGTGCTCATGAGCAGTTATGAGCTTGTGCTCATACGCACGGGACGCAGGGACGTTTCTACGGGACGCCCGGGACTTGCTTGCGGGACACTTTGAGAAGTGTCCCTATATAAATCGCACTGATTTTAAGAGCAAAATGTTGTTGCCAAAGCTACCGCGTTGGTTGACTGCATGCATAAATTAACACATGGATTAACATTTTGTACACGCGATAGTTATATCGCACGCAAGAACGCAGATTATAGTGTTTCAAACAATCTAATTCACATCGCAATCAATCAGTCAACATGCAGTGTAAAGCAGACATCGTTGGGATCCTTGACATGGACGGATTTCAAATTGGAAGGAAATTTTTCTGTAAGGAGTTGGGAGTCATTAAGGTCGGAGACCCTGAAGCCTCGTCGTTCTTTTTCGATATTGGTTTACACTGGAACGAGCTCAACGAGAAAGACAAGAGAACGTGTAACTTCGTCCAGAAGAATATACATAAACTCCCGTTTGGAGTGCCACGGGGCACTAAAGCATTTCAAATTTCGGACTTGCAGGCAATTGTAGAGAATTTCTACCGTGAAATACAGATAGATTCAAACTCTACAATTGCCTTCAAAGGCGGACATTACGAAAGGGACTTGCTGGCGAGTCTCCGTATTCCGGCCGTAAATTTGGAATGCTTTAATTGTCCCAAAGCTGAAAAACTATTTGATCAACTGATCTGGTTAGAAACCTGCGGGAACCACCTGGAAAGCAACGCTTATCAACACTGCGCAAAAGTCGAAGTCGAAGCCTTTGCGATGTGGCTGCAACAGTAAAGACAAACACAAAACACCGGTTCTTTTAAGAACCCTCAAATTTATAAAAAGAATAAAAACGAAACTCGTTTATTAACATATTTACACTGAATCTCAATGTTTACTTTTCAAATATTCCACATATGCCTTATAATGATCCTCTTCATGACTTCTAAATTGCTCGCCTGTCGCTTTCACAGTATACTTAAAACTAGGGGGCATTGAAAAAAAGACCGTAGCCCCAGGTTCAAGCGGGTCATCACGACAATCCTCTTTCCAGCTAGAAATTTCGTCTAAAAGTTTGTCCTCTCTCCAGTATGAAAGATAATTCAAAATTGACTCAAATTCACTATCCTCGATATTTTCACGAAGATCCATCAGCGAGTAAACAAACGTTGAATCAGGACTTTTCTCCAAATTGTCAAAGTGATCTCGAACATCTTTATGATACTGTAACTTCATCACTCTAATAGCCTCAACAAACTCCCTCCAAACCATACGTTTAACAATCACTCGCTCTATGGCTTCCAAACCATACGATTGCCATCTCTCTTGTTCTGATAACATGAGACAGTCATGCTGGCGTTGACTCGGATGGTCGTACTCACAACCACAACATCTCTCTTTAGCAAGTTTACCAACTTCGCAAGCAACAGCCTCTGCATATATAGCTTCTAACAAACTGAAAAGCCTTTTATAATCAGAGGACGAAACTTCGTCTGCATGAACACTGTTGGCCCAATTCGATTGCTCAAAATTTTGTGAAAAATTCATTTTCAAAGGCTTAGTATGCAATGATATCAGTGAATAAACGCGCAGTCTCTTTTATAGACATGTGCAATACAATTACGTAATGCTTACAAACCGGATACATACAATTGAACGTTCATACTTCATAATTTACGCGGGAATAGCTGAACGTGCATACTTATAATAATTTATGCGGGGATAGTTGAACGTTCATACTTCATAATTTATGCAAGTATTTCCGGTGATGTCATTGATATGACGTCATACATACACTCGCTTGAATACTAATTACTTCCGTTATTGTATGGGGGGGGTTACCTACTATTACCATTTGCATGCATGTAACACCAACAGCATGATCTTTATTCCATACCGTATAGGAAAAATTGAACACATCTGTCCTGCAGAGCTAGTACAAATTTACATTAGCAACTATTGAATCAGTGAGGGAGGTATAATAAAGCAAGTGTTCAAATAAATGCAGCCAAATCAAAATTGTTTGTCTCCACACTACACTTCCTCATCAATGGACAGCTCAATGAGAACAAATGTTGTGGACAACTGTGGTTTGGACATTGCAGGCTGGCTGCACATTTTGCAATGATGTACATGCAGGAGATCGGTTGTTGATGCATGAATGAAATCAATTTCCAAAAAGCTCCAAGGCTTACTTTTTGAAATGACTGAGAATAGGTCATTCCAGAAAACATCCATACCACCCCCACGGAGGAAATAGGAAGTTAACCCCCTTTGGATGTTTTAATACATTTACTATTATCAGAAACAATTTTTTCTCCCCTCCCCCTCCGGACGGCAGAAATTTCCTCCGTGGGGGGAGTATGGATCTTTTCTGGAATGATCCAATTCGTTTTCCATATGAGTGAGAGTTCCTACAGCCGCATGTGAGGATGCATATTACCACCTCTTTTCTCTACCCTTGCATAGTACAGAGAAGGAAAAACAAAGACCAGTTTTTGAACCAAGTAACTTTGTTATATTTTAACTTAAAACAGCACTGTATATAACTTTAAATACTGTAAAAAATGAAATATCAGCTAAATACTAATTCAGTAAGAATTGTCTTGGTATGGAAATATCTCTTTCTGTTGTATATGCATTGTTGAATTGCCATGTCACTTTCTTGAGTATTACCAGAATATTAAGTATAGTTGAGCCAGCTTCCTAATATTATGGAATCTAGGATAGTTGTTGACTTTGTGTTTTTCTTAATAATCTCATTAATATTATCAACATTCCTATATGTGAAGACCAACTCCCATCCCCATTAAGTTGTACATATACAGTTGCAGTCTTCTTGACAGTCCTTGTTTTATCCATATTGATGTTTGAGAAGCATGAGTATCTAAAATATAATACAATTGATTTGCATTTCATTTCACAAATTGGAAACCTAAATCTATATGTTACACTATAAATCTATCCAATTAATTTATTAACAGTAGATTTATTCTAATTGAGGGAGAAACATACTTATGACATAAGTTACATTTGAACAAAACTATCTCTAAACTGGTTGGCAATCTTTTAGTTTTACTGATTCACCATTCAGTGCACAATATAAACTTGCAATACAAATGAAATTTCTGCTGTCTGAAAAGGGATGGGGAAATGCACTTTTAGAATAGTAAAATGTACTAGGATGTGTAAAAGGAATTATGGGAGTTCTAATCTCCTATGTGAGAGCTGTGGATCTAAGGCAAATTATTCCACATGTAAGCACTTTGCATGCTCCAAGGGAATAAACTATAAATTACAGTATTATTATATACTAGAGTATTTATTAACATGCGATAACTTTTAGTCAGAATAACTTGAACAAGTGCAACGTTCACAGTGTAAAATGGATTAGTGATGGGTCTATGGATGGCCCACTAGTAAATTTTCATTTATATCAAATTATAATTTCTCAAAACTAAGCGCTTTAAAAAAATACTTTGTAGGCATATTAGCACCAGTCATAGGGCCATTATTGTTGAATTATAATATGAATAAAAATAATATATTGTAGTTTTTCAATTACCTTCACAGTGACAGTGCTGTCAGCAGTGCAAGCAGCCGTGAGACATGACAAACAACGCGGATTCTTCGGCCAGGAAGATAAAAATTAGACGTGCTAGCTTCTTGTTATTTTCTCTCTATATACATCTTTATTTTTGAAGAGAAATTACTTATCTAAAGGTATATTTTAGCAAAAAAATACATTTCCAAACTGAAATATTTCATCTCAAGAAGGCCATGAAAAATTTGTACGCCAGCAATGAATCGGAGTACTCCGGATTTTCGGAACACTAATTAAATCGAACCAATAATGGTCACATGACTGTTCTGACGGTCACATGACTGTTCTGACGGTCACATGACTGTTCTAGCTACCCCTACTTTTGAGTAGGGGCAGTCAGAACAGTCATGTGACCGTTTTCGGTTCGATTCGATTAGTGTTCCGAAAATCCGGAGTACTCCGAACAGTAAATGGAGCAGCCTGGTGGAGATTTTCGCAGCCTTTACCAACACCGCGGAAAAACGTCTGCGCATGCGTCAACCTTACCTGTAATAGTCACTGAGCTATAGTGGTAATAGTATTGCGAACTTGATGAGAAGCTGTTCCGAACGTTTCCGAAGGCTCAAAATAGCGGTAGAAAGGAGTGACTTCAATGTGCGTCTTTACAGCCATATTTCGAGCGCAAAAATAAACATGTCGTTCTAAAAACTAGGAATAAATACAGCCAGAAGGTTCAAGAAAATGTGTTGTACAAGAACATGAACTAAAGGTGATTGTTAACAAATTTATCGTCTGAAACATTTTGTTTATCAACTAAGCAACGACAATTTCCGAATTTTCGTTTGAGATACATTTCTTTAAAAAAAACTGTGTCGCCAAATATAAAAAATTTGCGTGTTCACAATAATTAAACTTTAGGATTTATTCTACAATTTTAGTGGGTTAAGAAGCTTAACTTTTCGAGAGTTTTCTTAACTTTTTAGTTTGAATTTTTGTTTTGAATAATTTTGCAAAAATTTTCGAAGTCGTGTCCGTTAAAATCAACAATTTTTTACATGAATTATATTTCATTCCATACTTTAAATGCCAGGACGCTTTCAATTAATGTCTAGTCTACCCATTTGCTATATTTTCTCGTTTGTTTTAGTAATTTTTGACCAATAAATAAGCATGTTTTTGTTTTAGAAATTGATATTCAAATTCCCCGCCATATTTTCATTATTTGGTGCATGCGCAGACGTTTTTCCGCGGTGTAGCCTTTACCCAGTGAACTCTATATATATATATCTGGAATGATAACAGCGAGCGAAAAGTGAAGCCGACAAAAAAAAATCACGACATAAGTATTCGTCATCGTCTTCGTCATCAACTGTTCAAGAACTTTCTTACAGTATTAAAAATCACTTACATGTAAAATTTGTAATTGTTTTGAAAGTTTTTATCACAGTTTTTATATCTTTATTCACTTTTAACCTGAAGGTTGAGTTATACTCCGAAACGTAGTTATTAAAATAATTTTTTTACTAATATAAGCCCATATGGTCTAATTTATATTCAAACACACGTACATGTTCATTTACATTTTGCTGGCAGGGAAATTCCGATCACACAATAAATTCTTTAAAAAATAACGTACTAGTGTATTGACTAAAAACTATAAAACTGGCAAACTAAAAAAACAATTCAAACAATCGCTAAAAATGGCAACGGCAAAGTCACAGTTGCAAGTCAATTTACCTACCTGTGAAATGAAATTTTCTCGCAAGAATATCTCTTTCCTTGTGCATCCAGAACGACAGTACGACACAATATATTTGAAAAAGTGATTCTTTTCTCCACACGGGGAAATTTTCCTCGACTTTTTTCCGACAGCGAACTCAATGCAGTAAATTTTAGGAGCAAAACTGTTTGCTCCTACAATGTATTGCATTGAGTTGGCCATGTTTTTAATTTTTTTTTCGTGATTGCGTTCAAATTTATACTGGCCGTGCAACGGTTTGCAAGAGGGGGAATGAAACTGACGTCCAATCCGCGTAAACCTGACGTTTGAGGGACTGAGACTGACGTCCAATCCGCGTGAAAGACTGGTATCGAGGCTTCATTGTTTTCACAATCAAATGACTGAATGTTATCATTCCAGATATATATATATAGAGAGTTCACTGCCTTTACCAGGGTCTTCTCATTTTTCACGCGCCATGTACGAAGAAGACCCTGGGGACGAGGTTGCAAGAACTATATTATCTGCAAAACTTTTTTGCAAAAACCAGGGGGGGGGGGGTGAAAACGGCCGTGGGCTCAGAATTGAGCCTGGTCAGTGGTAACTACCATGAGGATTTCGGAAGTGTTGTCATGGAAATGGCGTCATTTTCACTCAAAATCCGCCATGTTTTTGGCTTCACTTCGTTGACTGAACGAAGTATAGGAGCAGGTCCTCCAGTTATTATACAGCTCAGTGGGCCTGACGTGCAATCAAAGATTAGGTACTATAAAGATGTGCCACTCGCCGTATTTCCCTAATGTTTGCGTGTCCGAATTTTCCGTGCTGATCACGAGTGATCACGCGAGATGACGAGTGCATAACACTTACTGCCAAAATAACGGCGAGACGAATACAATAGGTTGCCATCGCGATGCTCGCGATATATGACGAATTTTGACGAATTGGACACTTACTGGCAAAATGGCGGCTATAAAAAAATCTCGGACATAATTTTCGCAGAGTGGCACATCTTTATAGTACCTAATCTTTGGTGCAATGGTGGCCCAGTGAACTCTAATAATAGTGAGCTTAAGCAAGTGACGTTTTTGACAACACGGACGTCGACCGGAAATAAAATTGACGGTTTTCACCAATCACAGCCCTTGACCAAAGATTAGATACTATAAAGATGTGTCACTCGACGTATTTCCCTAATGTTTGCGTGTCCGTAATTTTCACTTACTGCCAAAATGGCGGCGAGACTGATGGCGTTGAATTTTACTATTTAAGAGACTGATGGCGTTGAATTTGACACTTACTGACAAAATGGCGGCTATAAAAAAATCTCGGACATAATTTTCGCAGAGTGACACATCTTTATAGTATCTAATCTTTGCCTTGACCCAGTCTTCTGACGTTACTCTAAAAACGTCACTTGCTTAAGCTCACTAATAACTGGAAGGCTAAGTCAGGGGGGGAAGTTGAAGCCGTGCTTGAAGCTTTTTTTGTAGGTAGACCCAGTCCTTTTTAAATTTTTTTTTCAAAATATGCACATTTTTCGATCAGAAAAATCTTGCCCCAAAATATTAGTTATACTACCAAATTTAATTTATATCAGTAGTATTATAAATTAATTTAATATTCGCAAAGCAAACAAATCACGAATTAGCAAAAAAATACGAAAAAACACGGCCATAAGCATGAACAGTCAGAAAAACCGCGCGTTTTAGGCTGCTTTTTCTGAGTTTTTGGAAGTTTAAGATAAAACTAAGACGTCATACCTCAGGAATTATTTAAACCCATGCAAAATACATCTGTATGCGAAGTTTCAAGAAGATTGAACGTTTTAAGGTCGAAAAAAAATTTGACAAAAATATTGCCATATTCAAAATGCTCATAGTGGCCCAACCTCGTTCCCAGGCTCTTTGCTCTTGGGAAGCAAAGACCCTGGTCGGGGCTGATGACGTCACACCCAGATTCTGGGGGTAAACGTATAATTTGACTATGGGTCGGGAGGTAGAGGAGCGTGTTTGTTGCGTTTGGAAAATTGCAACTTTATGTGTTATAATTTCGGGTGATAAAAATGTAATTTGCAACAAGAGATTGTGAAAGGAACGTT